CTTTCTCTCTTTCATACAGACACACACACACACACACACACACACATATACATTCACACGAACATTTTCTCTCTCTCTCTCTCTCCCCCTTCTTTTTTTTTTTCACTCGTTCGCAAGTTAACGAAATATTGCCGAGGATAACCTTTCATTAATGAATTAACAAAACATTCCCGAAGAAAATTTTTTTCATCATCGAATTAACGAATCACATTGCCGAATTATTTCTTCCCTTGTATATATTTAAATTCAAAATTGGCCCCAGATCGAGCGTGAGTCTGGATGATCGATCGATCAATCATAACGAGGACGAACCAATGCGGGAATTATCCTCGCTTATAATAATTCAAGCGAATTATCAAAAGAGCAATTTTATTACAATTTCAAAAAAAAAAAAAAAAAAAAAAAAAAAAAAAAAAAAAAAAAAAAAAAAAAAAAAAAAAAAAAAAAAAAAAAGAATAATAATAATAAACATAATAATAATAAAAAGATAAAACGAAATAAATGTGTAAAAATGTTTCGATACGTTTCCCGTTTTTGTATACTATGTGATGTTTACATACATATATTACATATTACATGTTACATATTAAATCGATAAACATTTCTAAGCGCGTTTAAGAAATCGTCATATAAAGTTTAATTAACAATGATCGTTTTATCGCGAATAAAAAAGTTCGTGTATATTCATAAACGTTTTATGTTAATGTGACATAAAGAGAATTTTGTTAATAAAGAGAAAAAAAAACAAAAGAAAAGAGGAAAAAAGAAAAATAGAATATTTTATACATATATTATAAAATTAAAGAGAATCTTTTATGGAAGGTTATAAACGTAAAAAAAAAGTGCGTACCTATCATACGTAGAACGATTCTCGGAAATAATAATAATAATAATAATAATAATAATAATAATAATAATAATAATAATAATAATAATAATAATAATAATAATAATAATAATAATAATAATAATAATAATAATAATAGTAATAATAATAATAATAGTAATAATAATAATAATAATAATAATAATAATAATAATAATAATAATAAAATGATAATAAATGTCATAATAAATTGATCGTAATGATAAATATTTAATATTCAAATAAAAAGAAACATGCGAACATGCGAACATGCGTGGGCGGTAATAAATCTTTCGTAGAATAAAGAAGATATACTAATACATTGCCCAAAAAAAAAAAATAATAATAAAGTAAAATAAAATAAAATAAAATGAAATAAAAGAAAGACAGAAAAAAAAAACAAAAGAAAAAGCCTATTTCAATCTTCAGCGAGATACATTTCCTTTCGTTAGATCGAACGACGGAATAATAACATAAAATATTTCTTCACAAATATCCTCTCTCACTTTCTCCCTCTTTCTCTCTCTCTCACTCTCTCTCTCTCTCTCTCTCTCTCTCTCTCTTTCTCTCTGTCCCTTTCTCACAATAACGATCGTAAAAATCTCTTTTCTTATATCTTATCTCATCGCGCATTAAATATCGAGATATAACACATTTTGCGAAAATAATTTTCAGTAGGGTCGCAATTTTATATTTTTTATATTTACGAACTTCACTTTTTCGAGGCACTATATTAATATAAATATAAATATAAATATAAATATAAATATATATATATATATATATATATATATATATATATATATTGAATATATATATATATATTCAAAAATAATTGTGTCGACGACGTGTTTCTCATTGATAATTGATAATTTTAATACCCGATAGTAAACAAATGAACAAAAAATATATATATATGTATATACATATGTATATCCATGAATATATCAATAATAGAATCTCTCTCTCAAAGAAAAAAAAGAAACAGAAAGAAAAAAAAGAAAGAGAAAAAGAAATGCGTAAACGAGTGAACGTAATCGATTAAAATGTCGACTTGCAATGATGCTAATGATGAAAGACCCAATCGAGAAAAAATGTACTATTCGAGAGAAATGAAGATAGATGGATAGATAAATAGATTGACAGAAAACGATCTTGCTCGCTTGCTAATATAAATTCGACACATAGCACACTCCTCTGCAATTTTATAATCATTTTAGACATTTTATCGTCTTATCTGTTCGCAACAATAATTATCGGTCGTCGAGCTGTCGCCCGTGATTACACACTTTAATGATTCGATATACATATATTCATATTATATATATACTCATATTTATATATATATAGATATATCAAAAATATCCTTAGTAAAATAGAGCATTTATATATGTATAACGTACCTTCAAGTACTTTTTTTTTGCTGTATTATATAATTTTATCCACTATATATATAATATATATATGTATGTATAACGTGTATTATTATTTTATTATTATTACTATTATTAATATTAATATATATATATATATATATATATATTATATCATTATAATTATGTGTTTTTACTATACATTTAATATCCATCGCGGCACATTTTTTAGTTGCACCTCTCGCGTACATATCTATATATATACACATATACGTATATGTATATATATATATATATATATATATATGTATACACACATACATATACACTTACATGCGTGTTGCGTGTCGCCACGTGAACGAATTTTATGATTAAATAAACATCGCTCTATCCGTCACCCATTCGTTGCTCGGCTTCCATTTCTTTTTTTTTTCTTTCTTTTAACTAACATAAGAATCGATAACTAAAGGATTAGAAATATAGATAAGACGATCATATATATACATATATATATATATATCTATCTATATATATATACATATACAATGTTATATCCCTACGATCGAATTTTCTCCTAAAACATAACTTTTTTCTATTTCTCATTCCCTCTCTCTCTCTCTCTCTCTCTCTCTCTCTCTCTCTCTCTCTCTCTCTCTCTCTCTCTCTCTCTCTCTCTCATTTTTTATTTCCTATCTTTCTTTTCCATTATTTAATCACGACAACCTCTTTAACACAAACGATTAATATTAAAAGAATTCATTCATTATTAATCTATTAATCATCAACAAACAATTTAGATTCGTTTGTCTAACATGGAACATCAAGAAGCGACGTATCATACATCGATTTCTTTTTTCTTTTTTCTTAGATCAAAATTCAATGAAATTAATCGATCGAAAGTGATCGAGTACATTGAAAAACAAGATATACATTATAATTTTTTATCACTCAAATTTATGAAACAATATCGAGAGAAATAAAGTAGAGTCAATATATCACAAAGAGAACAGTTTTCATATTCGATTTGTATATGTGTGTGTGTGTGTTGTATGTACATATATATATATATATGTGTAAAAAAAAAATTTGACATAAATTTGACAAATACAAATAATTCCTAGATCTCTTAAAGAATTTTTCTTCTTTTCATTTTTATTGCTTTTACTTTCACTTTATTCTTTGTCTTTTATTTTTGTTATTTGTTTTTTCTTTCGATTTTTAATATCATAACAATTTATTTTTTATATTTTGTGTTCAATGTTATTAAAGTTATTTTAAGAGAATATATATATATATATATATATATATATATATATATACATATATATAAAAAATGTTACGAAAAAAGGGAATATGTTTTTTATACATTGTAAATTCTAACTTTACGAATTCCAACTTGGCGAAAGAGAGATTAGAGAAGGAATTTGTTCGTAAAGTGAGAGTTGAGAGGGGAAAATGAAAGTAGGGGAAGGAGAAGGGATGGAGGAAGAGGGCAAACGAGACAGGAACTACTTGCAATTTACAATCGTCTTTAAAAATTCCGAATTAATTCGATGCTCGGTCGAGCGAAAATTCGAATAAATAGGTATTCGAATAGAAAACTATCTCAAGGCGTCTACTTTCTTTCAACTCGATTATGATCCCTTTCTATCTTATTGTTTTTCTTTCATTTTTCTTTTTTTTCTCTTTTTTCTTTTTTTTTTCTTTTTGTTTGTTTTTTCTTAAGTAAGATATGAATTTCTCATAAGTTAGTTTTATTGCTCCGTATACTTACAAAATTCCCTTTCTCAGTCTCTCAAAGTTGAATCTCTCTCTCTTTCTTTCTCTCTCTCTCTCTTCCTCTCTCTCTCTCTCTCTCTCTCTCTCTCTCTCTCTCTCTCTCTCTCTCTCTCTCTCTCTCTCTCTCTCTCTCTCTCTCTCTCTCTCTCTCTCTCTCTCTCACGCCATTTACATAGGAAAATAATACATTTTTATGGATTTTCTTTGAAGCTATCTTTAAATCGTGCTTTCAACTGTTCTCTCTAGCGGATATCCTTAACCCCTGTTTTTTTCTTTTTTTTAATTAATAGTTTCCAAGTTTACCTAACAATTAAATTGTATTTTAAAACGAAGAACGATAATAACTATCTTTCTTTCTTTCTCTCTCTCTCTCTCTCTCTTTCTCTCTCTCTCTCTCTCTCTCTCTCTCTCTCTCTCTCTCTCTCTCTCTCTCTCTCTCTCTCTCTCTCTCTCTCTCTCTCTTTTTTTCTGTACTCCATAAATTCTTCGCATAAGTTAATTTTTCAAAGAATATATATGTACATATATAATACGCATATATATGTACATACTAAAAGCGAGTGTTAAGATATTGGTCTATTATTATTATTATTATTATTATTATTTTTATTATTATTATTATTATTATATTATTATTATTATTATATTATTATTACTATTATATTATTATTATTATTATTATTATTATTATTATTATTATTATTATTATTATTATTATTATTATTATTATTATTAATATTATTATTATTATTATATAGTCACAGATGCTTTTCTAGAGCGAATCTCTTCTCGATGCTCATTTCTTCATCGTAGAAATATGATTTTTTTGCTATTAATATAAATAAAAACAAATAATAATAGTAAAAGAAAAGAAAAGAAAAGAAAAGAAAGGGAAAAAAAAGAAAAAATATTAAGGGAAAAGAAGGAAAAGAAAAAGAAAAAAAAAAAAAAAAAGAAAATAAAAACAAAAGAAAAGAAAGAAAAAGAAAAGAAAAATTATAATGCATTTAGTCGGTCCTCGACAAAATTCGAATCGTGGAAGAGATACTTCTTTATCGTACAGCATGAATTTGCAAAAACGCAAATAAAGTCGTTATTAGGAGTAGAGACACTCGTCGATTAATATTAATATTTCACGTGGCGACAAAGAAAACGTAGAAAAAAAAAGTTCGTACGAATTCTGACCCCATTTTGTTATTTGTTGTTGTTTTTGTTGTTTTGTTTTTCCTGTTCATTACTGCGCGTACGCCAAAAGGCTACATTAAGGAATCATACACAACGCGTTTTTTTTTATAAGTCGTAATGGTGATCGTTATCGGCTTAATATATATGAAGTTAAAAACTAAAATAATTATTCAATATATATACAATGCGATAATGTAGTAACGTAATAAATAAGCTCAAAGTATACATTCTATTTCACACGTATAACATTCGTCCATATAATAATTACAAATCATCATCATCAGCATCATCATCATCATCATCATCATCATCATCATCATCATCATCATCATCATCATCATCATCATCATAATAATTATAATCATAATCGTTACCGTCATCACCATCATGACCATCATCATTATCATCGTCATTGCGATCGCTACATGGGCGAACAGGCCAACATTACAATACACAGTTTTTTCGGTTCGGAACGATAAAGGCTTTCCACCATACCACCCCAAGAACATTTCGTCTAGGATAAAAGTATGCTATCATGTCGAACTTAAAATATATAATTCTTTCAAAAGAAAGATATAATGAAATCGGCTAGCATCATCATTGATCGTTCGATCTCATTCTATAAGATTATTCGATTTATTCAATAACGATCTATATTGATCTATTTGAATCTATTCGAACGACACAAGAGGCAGAGACCTTTATGTTCTGAACCGGTATATAGAATGTATGCTACCTATTATTCGTTAAACTTTTACACACAAGTAATGAAATAAAGAGCGATACGTAACAGGTTTATAATAACCCAAAAGCACAAGGTCGTCGGAATTCTTTTCGTATCATCATTGTTCGTATTGTTCATTGATCATTATTATTTAATGCACATCGTATACCGATAAAAACTAACGACTCCATTTGTGTCATTTATATATAGGCACTTCTCATAGTGGGAAATCAAACAAAATTTGCATGTCCCGCTAAATTTGTCTTTACAGATGAGAAAAACTTTGGTTGATGGGATAAATCTTTAGAATCGAAATATCTTATATTTTTTTTCTCTCTATCACTCTACCTCTCCTCTCTCTCTCTCTCTCTCTCTCTCTCTCTCTCTTCTTTCTCTCTCTCTGTTTCTCTTCCTTTTCTCCTTCTTCAATTTGCGCACGATTACTATATACATACTCTGTGTATATTTCTATTTAATTCACGATTGACGATGTATATCATCACGTCTATATAATTTATTCTTTCTCGTCTCTTAAGTAATATAGTGTGTAAAATCGTGTATTCTCATTTATTATTCGAGTTATCGTAGCTCGAAGATAAAAATGCGTCATTCTCAACGCATTTATATAAAGCATGCTATTACTATTTGCCTGCAAACAACTTTGTCCGTCTCCAATATCTTTGTAACCTCGTCTAGGAATCTTAGAAAAACAAGGACATTCGTAAGATCCTTATTCACGTTTTATCCAAAGAGACCTCTTGAACGAATCTATTTATGTGGAGAGAGTGTGTTTACGTACGGACGGGCCCAGCGAGACGGGGACAAGTTTTCTATTAAAGAAGGCGTTTATATTTACTTACTTTTCCCCCGCTTTCTCGGCTTTCATTTCTCGGTTGGTCTCGTTACAGTTTGTGGTATTACCGTCAATGACTTTGGAATTTTTGGCAAAATTGGAATTGGATTAGATGGCTTTGTAGTCACTTGTATAGACTTTGGCAGATTAAGATTATGTAATAGATTTTGGGTAGGACTGTTCTCATTCGACAAACGTATGTCACATATAAGCGGCTCGAAATCACCTCTACTTTGACGATTCAACATTTCCTGTTGCATTCTCAAGTGCTTTTGGAATTGGGTTTGAGCGGCCAGCTGTGCTTTTTGATATTGCGTCGTCGTAGATTTGAAATTCGGCGGTGAATTTGGATTACCCGATACACCCGTAGGACTTACGCACTGTTTCTCACTAAACATTTGTTTCTGTTTCTTAAGATGTTGCAGCCGTTTAAAATCCGGTTCGCTTAACTGGAACACTTTACCGCCGGAGGACATCGGCAATTTCGAGTTATCTTTACGTTTGATATTTCCATTGGCCGAACTGGTAGACGGTAAATTAAGTCGCTGCAAACTAGGAGGCGGTTTTTTTATAATTGATACACCCGGATTTAATTTGAGAACACGCGGTGGACTTCCCTTTGCCGTTAATTGTATCGCCGGTGACTTCGCATTACAACTTCCTGTGGGTAACGAGAGTCTGTCCCTTTCGAGTACGTATCCTCCGCTCAAACGACGAGAATTATTAAATTCGGAGGATATCGGTTCCATTATCGGTTCGTCCATTTTTTCAGGGCCCTCGTACGATATCAATCTGTTTTGAACCGACGTAGAATAATTTATCGCATTACGCGATGCGTTAGGCGCCAATATCAAATCTCCTGCCCTATAATACTTTTCCAAAAGTATTAAATGTCTCAGGAAAGAACTTTGATTACCGTATGGTCTTTGTAATTCTTGCCATAAAAGTTTCGTGTCTCTGTCATATTGAATCATCGTCGCACATTTTTCCCAACCCTGAGGCGTTATCTCACGGACATTGGTAAACTCTATGTTGGCATGAAGATTCATTTCTTCTTCGCCTGGGAAAAGAGTACGGACGCTTATAGATGGATTAGCTCCGAGTCGTTGTACGACAGGGGTTATGTCGTTGTTCGTTCTTGCCCTTTTCGGTAACTTCGTCAAAGTTACTTCCTTGTCCATAGCAAGAATCTCTACGACTTCGTTCGAACCATCGCAAGGCGTTGTCGTACCGTCTGACGTATAATTATTCACTTCGAGTATTTTTCTTTTCTTCAATTTTTCTACGGTACCCTCAACGCCAATGAATTGAACGTCTGTAGGAATGGGATCGTTCGTATTAATTTTAACAGAACGATTGTCATTGTCCGGTTCAGAATTTGTACCCTCATTTTTAATAGATTCGGGGGTCGACTTATCCGAGGCTGAATTTGCCGTGACGTCTGGCGATTTCGAACTGCCATTCTTAGCCGGTGTACATTTAGCCTTTTTACGTTTATCCTTGTCTTTCGATTGACTATTAGAATCATCGTCCTCATTCTCGAGTACCTCAATATCGTGATAATGTAAGATCCTAGAATATCACACGTTTGTAGAATTTTTCAAAAGATCTTCGATAACGTAAATCGATCATATAAAATAAAACGATTACGACGTACCTTTTTCGATAGCTCTTAAAGAAAGATCTATGATTCATATTCATATTTTCAGGATCCTTGTATTTAATTTGCAACTGTGTGAAATACCGACACAACTTGCAAACAAAAGTGCCCGCAGCAAGTGAAACAGGTATCGCCTGTTGTGAGAGTCGTTGATTTAATTCTATAGTTTCAGCGTTTGATAACTGATGCGTATGATTTCTAGCCAATCTCCGATTACAAAGTGCACAGGTCAAAAACCTTTCGATTTTACCGTAATGAATGACACAGAATGACATAGACGTGTGTTGACTCGATTCCCAATCAATATCAACCTGTAATGCATTTTATTATCTAAATGAAACATACGCATGTAATTAAAGTTAAGTCATTATTTAACCGATAACCGATACAATCGTTCATTGTTAATTTTCATGAGAAATGTATTAAATCTACTGATTTTTATCAAAAGAAAAGAAAAATAATCAATACCTGATTTTGAAGTCCAGCCTTAATTTTAAGTAACCAACGTCGCTTAACATGATGACGTGCTGGATCTCTACAATCACGGGCTGAACATTTCGATACCATCAATTGACGATGTTGCTTTTGTGGCTTTGTTTGCATGTTCGTTGGACTAGTGTTCGCCTATAAATAAATAAATAAATAAATAAATAAATAAATAAATAAATAAATAAATAATAATAATAATGTCGATTAATTAAAGATAACGTCAGAATCAATTGCTCTGTTAATTATAATCATTCTTTATAGATACCTTTCTATCTACATGACGATAACACGCGTCACACAGACAAGAATCCTTGGTAAGGTGTCTTTCTATATTCAATATCTTCTTTCGTCTTTCATCCGATTTCATTTGTGCCAAGTGCATAGGTGTATCCAAAGAACCAAATTTTCCAAAACAATAACAACATACGTCCGCACATAATCGTCCTGGATGAATAGAAAAAGAAGATGATTTCTCAGGAATGACAAGAGACTGACGATCCTTCGGCGGAGCTTCTTCGTTATCTTCATCTGTTATATATAATGATATAATGATTAATATAACAATGTGAACATAATCGATTCGTTGATTTTTTAAGCAGGTTTTGGTGGGATTACGAATGAACTATTCGAAATACTCAGCCGTAGAGCAAAATACAAGTAGTTAGAGAACATCATCCTTTGTTTTTTGTTTCTCTCTTTTTTTTTTCTTTTTTTTTTTCTTTTTTTTTTTAAGAATTTGAAGCAGTAGCAAAAAAATAACATGCATAATTGCTCGAGATACACAACTATTTTTCAGGTAAATTATAGAGATTTACAAAAAGGAATTGCCAAGCATTACATAATAAATGTTTTAATTATAGTTTGCACTTATAAATGCAAATTTGGTGTTAAATGTAATAATTAAGCAATCCTTTGTGTCTAATCTGCTAAATAATAACACTTTATGCAGGATAGAAGAAAATATAAAAATATTGAAAAAGCAATGAAGGAAAAGGATCGATTAACAATGTAGTTATGCCCACAACCAGGATTACCGCAAGAGTGTCTGTGGTTAGTAGTGAACTTTCGGTTCGCACCAGAGCTGCTATCTCCCAAACCACTGGTTCCAAACTGAAAATAAAACAAAAAACAAGAAAAAAGTCAATAATGACAAGTTCTGTATGCCTCGCGTTACTTTTATTAAATAATCACGTTCTTTTTATTAAATATTATTATCGAATTTTACGAAATCCGTCTTACCTCCTTTTGTATGGTGTAAAATTCAGGCGAATCTCCTTCCCCGTCGGTGCGTCCTTGCTTCAAAACCATTTTCAAAGGAGATCTCGATCGTTTTTTGTCTTTTTCTTTTTCCTTCTGTACACGAATCACAGTTTTCAATGTACCTGTATATTGTTCCTTCCTCGCTTTCTGATGATTTAATCTCTCTGCAGCTTTTTCCAACGATTCCAAACCCAATAATCTCAAAATAGATTCTTTTTTAGCTTTATCCTCCGGCGTTTCTAAAATTTTCGCAGTAATATTAACACTACTAGATGATTCATCCGAAGTAGATGTCTCATCTAAATCTTTTTGAGAAGAAGTTTCTCCCATTTTAATAGATTTACAATCATCCAACAAATTCATATTACTTCCTTCTTTTGATAAATCATTGTCTGCGATATGACTCGAAAGTCGTCCTTCTTTTTCTGTTCTATTTGGTTCATTTGGAATTACTAAATCATTTTCTGATTTACTACGTAAATTGTCATTGTTATTTTGAATTTTGTCTAAGCTATCACGGCCACCTTCAGAGAAACCTCTAAAACTATCAGAACATTTAGCAAGATTGTCATAATCATTAAGGAATGATCTGTTGTTTTCATTTATCTTGGCGACTTCATTGTCAAGCAATGTTTCTTCCTTTTGTTGGTCAGACTTTCTGATATCTCGTTTGGTTCGTTTATTTTTCAACGTATTATTTAACTGCTGATCTTCCTTACGTTTTTTCACTTCTCTACCACGTCTAGTACGAGTATGAGGCTCGGAAACATCACTAGTTTCAAACTCCATGGTGCTATTTTGAGATATGTCTGTTTCAGGAGTGTTACAGATAGTTTCAGTACTAGCTTTCTGTTCAAAATTTTGTTTATTATCATTTTGTCCATTCAATTCTTCTGTTGTTTGGCAATCACTTCCTGTACTAGATTTTGATGTATTTTCATGTTCTCTGTTGCAAGAAGTTGGTCTTTTCTCCACTTTCTTTTGTTTATCACGAACCCTTAAAACTCTTTTATTTTCTTCATTTGTAACTTTGGGTTCATCTGTACTTTTTTCTGATGTTAATTTATTACCTTTTTCATCAACAACTGTATTCAGTGAATTATCTACTTTCTTATCGACGGTATTTTCATTTGAGGCTACTAATGTATCAAAATTTTGATGTTTATTATCTTCTTTATCGTGATTAGCATCCTTGATAGAATCATTTATTTCCTTTGAAATACATACTGGAGATTTGGTGGAGGTGCATATTGAATTTAAGTCACTATTTATGGCTGGCGTTGCATGAGAATTGTTTCTGTCATGTTTCTGATTTTGCATTGATTCAGAGGAAACAGTAGGTACCTCAACATTCTCATTGATATTATGAACTTTGTCTTGCTTGTTAATTTCATTTGATAAATGATCTATATCTTGACCAGTCAGTGCTTCTTCTACTTTATTAGTAGTAAATTTTGATGTAGAATGTTCATCCATTTCAACAAGAGAACTTTCTTCATCTTCAGCAATATTATTACATGTATCATTTAATTTTACATCTTCACCTGTTGCTTCTATATTCTCTACCGTATCGGATAAACCTGTTAGTTCATCCCCTTTCACTAATCTTTCAACATCAGAATAAATACTTTCTAAGGTTTCTGACTCCTCTGAACAATGAGCACTACCTAAACTTTCTACTTGAGGTACATTTGTCTTATCCATTTCATTATTTACTTCTATAATTGTACTTTGTACATCTACTGATTCGTTTATTTCTGTAGAAGGTAATAAATTTGTAGTAGACTCATTAGTAACTTCATTTGCATGTTCATCAGTTTTTTCTATAACAGATTCCTTAAGAGAATCATGCAATAATTCATCCGATGTGGTTGCCAATTTCTTTTCAACTTCAGACTCTTCAATGTTATCTTGAGAATTTTTATCATTTGAATTCCCTGATTTTCTCAATAAAGGAGATATTTTCTTGTTATTATCTACCGATTGACTTTCAATATCTTCTATTCGTTCTTCTATCTTAGATGTAATATTTGAATCCTGATCAGGTTCAGTACTTTCTTTAATATCTTTACATTTATTTATTTCTTTACTAACTGTAGCATGTGAGGGTTCATGAGAATTGTGAATTTTATTGACTGCTTCAATATTAGGAGTCTCCCTATCTTGAGTGTTTTGTGATTGAGTTTCAACCAATTCAATGTCACCCATGACTAGTTTCTCAATCTCTTTGGCAGTATCAGCCACTTTCGGTACTGAGTTCTCAGAACTTTCAGATTTACTCTCATTCTTAGATGCATTGGGTTTATCTTCATCAGTATTCTCTTCCAAACCCAACTTCTGAGATTCAGTACTTAACGGTGCAATGATTTCCTCAATCTTTGGAATTTCAAAATTTTTACTCAATCCAAGATTCTTTTCTGGACCAAATATTTTACTTTCAATTGATTTTGCAATTGTTAATTTTATATTCTCTATCATCTGATCTATTTGTGACTTTGGATTGCCATCAGATTTCTCTGTTCCATAAAAAGAATTTACTGTTTTCCTCATATCTATATTTAAACTATTCCTTCGACCTTTAGACCTATCTGTGAGTTTTGACAAAATTGTGTCTTTCCTAACTTGGTCTAAACTACTGGTTTTCTTTATTTCTTCCGGTAGTTCTACATTTTTAGATGCTACACGTGTATCATCAACTTTGATATCATCTATTTTTGTTTCACTATCCGTACTTCTGGCTTTTGTCTTTGAACGTAATGTTGGTCCTATTTCACTTAATCTATCTACTCTCTCACTATTATTGTTGTTTTCTATTTCTATACCAGTTTCACTTTCGGCATAATTCTTAGAGGCATCATCTTTTATTATACATTCCTCTTTATTTATTGCAGTTATTTGAGAGTAATTACCACTAGATTCAGAAAAACAGGATTCTATATCTACATTCCCATCAGAAATCTGTTCTGTCGAAGTTTCAGATGCAGCAGGATCATCTGAATTTAATCTACGTCGTCTTTTAACATCTACATCATTTGCAGCCACTGTATCCGAAAGTTGGCGCAATTTTCCATTTCTTAAACTCCTTTGGCTTAACAAAACATTTGACCTCTTCCTTAATTGAATTGTAGTTTGAGTATGATTTCCTTGTTCAATGTCTCCACATTCTCCTTCCGACATAATTCTATCATCACAATCGGGTTCCTTCTTTATTTCACTTTCAGGAATAATATTTTCATCCACCAACATTTTCCTACTCCTAGTTATTTTTCCTTCTACCTTTTCTACAATACCTTGCTGATTATCTACTTCTGAATCACTCAACATTGAAGCTATAACTTCGTCGATAGTAAGATCAATAGAGCTCTTGTTATCTAAGACAGATTTAGATAATTTATGTACGCCGGAATTAGTTTTGATGTTATTAAGAGAATCAGTATCTTTAGTGCCTCTTTTACCTTTCAGATATTTATCTCCCTCTATGATTTTTGTATAATTTTCTTTCTCCTTTATCGTACTCTTTTTCAGTCCTGTATTTTTTAAAAGTTTGGCACTTCTAGGGGAAGAGTCCACAGTATCACCTGGTTTAGTCCTCTTACTATACTTTGTATTACTTTTTGTATTCGAATTAACAAGAGCGTCTTGATCTTTTTCCGAATTATCCTCGTTATCCTGCTCGCCACTAATTCTTGTAAAGGACTTGGTTTTCTTGGTCCTGAGATTAATCTTGGCACTTTTGTTGGTTATTTCAGCAGTTTTGCTATTTTCTAGATCGTTAATATGATTTTCTGTAATTCTTAAATTGATATCAGAAGATTTTTCCTCTTCTTCCTCCTCTTCTTCCTCCTCTTCCACTTTCTCTTCTATTGACTTAACTTTTCTCGCTTTGATACCTTTCTTGATATCAGAATTTATCCTGCATAAATTTTTACTTCCTACTTTTTTGGTAACTTTTGTCTTAATGAAATTAGTTTTTGTTACTCTTAATTTCTGTTTACGTTTGAGGTTCTTTAAAACCTTCTTTCTTGGCAAACTTGCCTCTAATTTTGCAGGAAGTTGACTGCCCGTTGCTACCGCTTCAAAAATATCACGTGCAAGCTGTTGTTGCCTTATATTGGTCAAAGACTTGCCTTTTCTACTTTTGACCTCATTAGATGGCAAGCCAGAGTCATTATTCGCCTTCTGTTTTGATTTTGAAGGCGCTAAGGGTCGTTTTTCTCTGGATGCCATCTCACTTCCACCCACATTGGGCTCCTGAAAAATTACCCTTTGCTCATTTTTTATTAATGACTAATAAAATTTTAACTACTACTAAATCTCATATATCGAAAGTATATAAATTAATTAAAAATTTTAATTCTCGTTAATTTTGATATATCATTGAATTATACGTTTATATATCTTATTACGTATATATCTCTATAAATATACTTATGCATTTATATTATAAATCATAGAAAAAATAATCAAATAATAAAATAATTATTTAATAAAAATTAAATATAACTGAATAATTAAAATTATACGTATATAAAAATTATATATAAATAAATATTCAGATAAATATAAATAAGCATCCAGAGGTAAATTAATCATATTTGTTAATTGCAGATCTTATGAGGAGATCGAAGATACTTTCAATTTTTTAATATTTCGATTTGTATTTATAACATATCGCGTGTAATATATTTAATCGAAACGAGATCGAAATGTTGATTTAATGAATGAAAGAAAAGAGAAAGAAGAAAGAATTCGAGATATAGTTATATTATATTATATATATGTCTATATATATATATACATATATATATATATATAAAATAGAATAAAAGAATAGAAATACCTTTCCTCTTAAATATAAGGCAGGAACAAATGTATTGTACACCAAGTAGAAAAACTACATAATTCGTCTTGACTGCGAATAGGTAAGCAACCGGTTGAGAAGTAGGGTTGGTAGATGCGGCCCTGGCGGTCAGAAAAATTACGTGACAAACTTTGCATTTACATGGATACACGAAGCGCCTCTTCTCCGTCAAGGAACTCAGGTCCGAAATATTTCGAACGATATCTGCCGTAATAATGGACAGGTCAATGAAATTCTTGGCTCAAAAGAAAGCGCATAACGCGTATTAACTTCCGAACTAGAAAATCTGCCGATGAATGTGGTCAAAGTAATAAAAATCGAGGGAGAAATAGTGGCGAAAAAATCGCCACGAATAAACAAAAGGTCGGCCCCGATTCGAGATTTCTAAGATCTAGCTTGACACGATAAAGTTAATATTTTGAAAAATGATAGGTCAAAAAGTCGGGTGGACGATTATACTCACCTCTGAGGCCGAAAATGCCGTCGGAGATCCGTGATTAATGTGAGAAAAGGGGAAAAACAATGTCGTGAAAAACACAGTCCCGTTGCAGGGTGTCTGAACGCTGTCCTACTGTTTTGAGGCTACCGCCACCTGCCGGTCGAATGCGCGACCTCTCCCACGTCCATAGCCTATTCAAGCTAATCGCATGACATTATTTCAAAGAATTTAACCCTATAGGCTTCCCAATCGTCGTTATTTATTGACCCTTCACGTTCTACGAGGCACAAATTCACTGTACGATCGAAAAATCTTATAGGATGTTAAACCGATTAAACGAAAAAATCCTCGATAAAGTAGCTAACAACGCGGCACTTCTAATCCTATACAACGTTCACGCTAACTAAAGCCGCAGAATATTATTGAAATTCTACCTTGCGACGAATGCTCGATGTTCCGATCTTCTGCCCTCGAACGTATCCTATTTAATAGAAACTTTCTCGCAAGAATCGAAACTTATATAGGAGTAAGAAAGCGAGGCGATAAAGAAAGCACGGTGAAACGCAGAGGAACGAAAAGGAAGACGCGCCCGTGCGCACCAATGGCGGCCAGCGACCCTTATTTACCGAGCTCAAAATGGCTGCCCTTCGTATTTTCACACGCTCGTGCTTTCCAGCGATTTTGCAAGGTCCCGTAGCTCTACAATCGGTGAAGTGCGCATCCCCGACTATCACCGAGGTACTAATTTTTACAATTACGTTTTTATGTACTTATTTAATGTCGCCTTTACTTTTAATTAAGCCAAACTATCTTATCGCACCGTCTAACTGTAGTTAGTGATTTTCTCAGAACAGCGATAGCGAAGGGCCTCACGTATTCTTACAATGTGCGCGTGTATCCACTTTCTTGCAATAATTTACTAACACTATCCTATGATATTATTCTGTTATCGCCTTTTTTACACTATTCTATTTCTCTCCATTACGACATAGATCCTTTAGAAACATTTAAAACAGTTTTCTTTTATTTAATAATCTAATACTACGTAATAAGTGGAAATAATCAAAAATTGCAACATTGTAAAATGTCTTATTGCTATTAATTACCTTTCACTAATCATACTTCTTTTCAAGATTTTATTTTTTAAATACAATACCACAAAACGCATTGTGGAACATTTGATAAGCTATTCAATCTATTTTCATTAAATTTGTATATAAAAGTAATCGACCTTTTGTAGAATATAAAAAAGAAAATGTGGTTATTTCATTAATAGATTTACGCCATGAAGTTTAATTGCTTATATCATTGAAATGTATTAATTTGATAGAAAACAAAGTGTTAATAAAAATTTTCTCTTTTCTTTTTCTTAGATTTATAAGAGATGGAGTAGTTACAAATCTTCGCCTATATACAAAGATCCTTCTCATTATACAGACTATGATATATCTAATGATCCGGTAGAATGGAGCTATGTAGAACGTTTAATGAGATATAAGATTATACCACAACCAAAAACTACTGATACAAATTTACCTTCAGGATGGAAACCAGCCACTGGTTAGCATACTTTTGTATATTATATAACTAATATAACTAATATACATATATAAATCTGATATAATAGGTAATTATTTTAATTTTGATGTTATTCAACAGCAAAACCCAGTGACCATCCTTATTTCATACAACGTACAAAAAACCATATGCTACCTATTTATCTACAAATAAAATTTAGGGGAATGAGAAAAGTAACGCAAATACGTAAAATACAAGGAGATATTTGGAAATTAGAGAAAGAATTAAAGCAGCATATTAAAGAAACAACAAATAAAACATTTGGTAGTAGAATAAATGAAATGTGTGGTGAAATTAAGTTTAGAGGAGATTATGTATCTTGCGTTAAAAAGTGGTTACTAGCTAAAGGTTTCTAAATTTTTCAATGTAAATTTTTGTTTATATTATGAATATAAAAATTGAAACATTTATAATGTAAATATGATTACATAGGAACTGTTACAACAAAATACTTTTATGTATATTTGCAAAAATAAAAACTTACATCGCTTTATAATTCTTGTCTAGTATTCAATAAAAACAACCAATAGGCTCAAATTAAAAATCTTATAAAACATTATTTAAATCAAACAAATTATTAAACATATTAAAATTCATTATAATAATGATTCAATGAGAACATAGTGATATAACAAAATATCATCATTTTTCTGATATAATTCACTTTTATATAGATTAAAAAATATACAATAACAAGTAGAAACGCTTTTGTTATGTTCCATTCACAGGAGAATTTATTTTCACAAAGCAATTATAATAAAACAAGTATCCAGTATATTTTCATGTTTTAATTCAAATAATCTTTGAAGTCATAGTTTGAGTAAAACTTTTGATTGAAATCTGATCATTGTACATGTATGAAATAACATAAAAATGTTTTTTTTTTAAATAACATTATAGGGATATTAGATGATAAAACTCAATCATTACATGTGCTAAAAAATATATACTGGAAATAGGACTAAAGGCTTTATAGGGATAAAGTTTAATAAATTCTGTCAGTTTTTACATTTATTGCCTCTGAATGGAGCGTTATGTATCTGTAAGCAAATGTTAAATTTTACTTGAAGACTTTTCCTTGATTAAATTCACGTCCTTCTTTATCAGTACCAATCCAACTGAAATATTGATGTACCAATTTCTTTGTCTTTTCATCGGATGGATCTAATTTTGTCCAACTATATGATTCATAATCCACTTGCCAGTCTGAACATAACTGCAAAAGAACCCATATATTTTTCAAGAATACATTCATTAATTTTTTTTATAAAAGTTAATTAGTAATTACTGCATAAACATACTGTAAAAGCAAGTTCTTGTCCACGCCAAACCCATATACCACTAATAGTGCTATCATTATCTGTACCAAATAAGCAGGTACTAGCAAATGAAGCTTTACGCATTTTATCTAATCGTTGATACATTCCAGTAATAAGATTGCACGACATAAAAACCTAAACAAAAATATACATATATATATATATATGTTAATACACTCACATATAAATTTAAATAAAGTTACTTCATTGCATTATGATTATATAAATGTACTTACTTTAGTTAATTCATTATTGTATTTATATTCACTCAACCAGATACTATAATGTTGTGGATCAAACTTTTGCCAGAAGTATGGTATAGACTTAGATTCGTCTTCGTTAGAATAAAATCGTTTGAAATCATCAAGATCAAAGGAACCCTTTGGTAAAGAAGCAAAAGGATTTGTTGTTTTAGGTTCTGCAGCTAAAACTGCATCTGCTAGATCAAGTTCTTCTGCCGACTCATTCTTTGCTTCTTTTGATTCCTTTGATTCTTTTTTGGATTCCTTTTCTTTCTTTTCTTTTTTCGATGAAGACTAAAATAATATATATGTATATATAAATATATATATGTATATATATACACATATATATACGCACACACACACGTATGCATATATAATTTTAAAGAACATCATAAAAATAAATATTTTTAAGACAATTTATATACCTTTCCTTGCGTCTCTGCATACTTCTTAGGATCATATTCAAGTGTATTCTCAGCCAATTTAAAGGCACCAATTACAGCAATAGATTCAGGTTGATAAATTACAGTTTGGAACCATCGATTTACATTTTGGTACGGTTTGCGTAGATTTTGATCAAGAACATATTGATATAAATGGAGTAAAGTCATAGCTACACTAATATCTGCTAAAGTTATTCGTTCTCCTACCAAGTACGTTCGCGTAAGTAAATGAGAATTTAAAGCTGTTAAAGCTTTCTGAACATCTTCTCTAGCAAGATCAATAGTCTGAAATAATGAAATCTTTTATTAAATTACAGGTATTCACTTCTGCAATCTAATGAAGAAAAAAAAAAGAAAAAGAAACAGCAATTTATAATATAAACAGCTATGTGTATGCAATTTGAAGTACACAAATACAAATAAATATATACATGTATATTTGTGTACCTACAGTACATGCAAATATTTATTTACCTCCTGTTGTTACAAACAATTATCTGAATCAACAATTGTTGCCTTTGAAGGAGGACAAAAATCAATACTATTATTATAAAGATGTATACATATAAATATATTTGTAATCATATATAAACATTTAATACCTGTTTATTGTATGGCATTATTCCAAGTAATGGAAATACCCAAGCACAACTGGCAGGAAGAATCTCAGAATCTGCGAATCCGAACCATTGAATGATTTCCGTTCGCTCAAGTTCAGATTTTCCTCTCAATTGCTCATTAGAAACTATAAAAGCGATAGTAATAAAAAAGGGATAAAATGTTGGAATATAAAAATCAAAAATATTTCTACTTACCATAGTAAGCAATTGCATTACTTTCTGTAATGCATTTTCCGTCACTTGTTTCAAAAGCTGGTACCTAAAAATAAACAAATTTTAGTTAGAATAATAAACATACTAATTATATTTACTACTTAAAACATCAGCTATTAAGAAATATAGCAGCTGGTTAGGTATTAACAGGACAACTGTCAGAAAGGAAAGATAATATGACATATGGTCTGACTTACTTTACCAAGAGGAAACTTTTTTAAAAAAGCTTCAGTCTTGTTAGTTTCTCCGAAGACAAAGTCTTCGGCAATTTTAATCTGCGTGCCGGAGTATTGAGCAGCGATCAGAGCCTTATATGCCCTGAAATTTTCTGGGTACGTGTACAATGTCTGTAAAAAACATTAAGATATAAAAATTACCATATGTTAATAATCACGTTTTATCTATCATATATAGTTATCGATTCATTTTAATGTCGATGATTTTAGCTGAAAATTGCATGAATCTAACTTACTCCAGACGCCATTGTATCCAGTTAAGGGAACAGGAAGTTGAAGGCCGGTAAAGACCACACTGCTCGAGTCTACTTCTTTAATTGAGATTCTACTATTTGATTTCTTTTTTTTTATTATTATTATTATTATCTTTATTTTTCAATATGATTTTTTTGTATCAGTTTTATAGCTTACTATGTTAATATATACGCGATGTAACTATAAAATAAATAAGAAATAACAATTATATCTTTATACTCATGGAAATTGCAATGAACTTAAAGATGGTTAAAGGAGTATATTCAACTGTTGAATATTCGCTGAACTCGATTTTTTCTATTCGTTTTATTAGTTCTGTTGCAACGTCTCTTGTTCTTAAAGACTGCTGATTGGTCTTCGATTGGATACTATCTTCATATTATTGGTTGAAAAATAATATATTCGACTAATACTAATTTTATCATGATGGACCAATTGCATTCAATTTATTTAATAATTATAGGATTTTCTTTATTTTCTTTGTATTTGCATTAAAAATTGTATCTTTAAACAAATATAAATATAAAATAAATACTAAATATAAATTGTGATAAAATTGTATCAAATATAAATTTCAATAAAATTTTATGTCAAGGCATGTGTTCCAAAAGACAAGAAACTTATTTGAGTGCTATGCTGAACGCATTGTAAGATTTAGAATTTACTTTAGCAGAAACTTATGCCAATGACATTTAATTCCCCGTAACGAACATGGCCGCGCTCAAAGATGTTGTTTCTTTATACCAAAATTTAAAACAAGAGTGGACAAGACCATCTTGTAATTTAAAAAAATGTGGCAAATTACTTAATCAATTAAAGGTGACATTTCATTATCGTTACTTAATAAGTTTTATATATTTTTTTTTTCTATATAACCTCTTTGTAACATGAATAGTAATTTTCTTTATTTCTTTTTTTTTTGTATATTAGTTTAATTATTTTTGTGTATATATGTATATCTAAAGAGATTTTTTTTACATTGTTTGATTTATACAGGTAGGCCTCACGCATTTAATGTTCCTACCTACATCTAATAGTACGGCGAGCCAAAATGAATTACTTATAGCTAGTATGTATTTTTTTTTTCTTCTTTTTTTTCTTTTTTAATATCATTTTTAATGCTTTCTATTGTTGGCGATGTGTTTATCATTAAAATGTATGTCTTTAATTACAGGAGATATATTAGAAATTGGTGCTCAGTGGAGTATATCTGCAGAAGATATACCTTCTTTTGAAAGATACATGGCCCAATTGAAATGTTATTATTTTGATTACAAATCTGGGTTACTTGAATCTGCTTACAAGTATCAACTTTTGGGTTTAAATTTGTTATTCTTATTATCTCAAAATCGCGTAGCAGAATTTCATACAGAATTAGAGCTTCTGCCTTCTGATCAAATACAATCGAATCCTTATATTCGACATCCATTAAGTTTAGAACAATATTTAATGGAGGGTTCATATAACAAAATATTTTTGGCTAAAGGCAATGTGCCAGCTGCATGTTACAATTTTTTCATTGACATATTATTAAATACTGTTCGCGATGAAATTGGAGCATGTATGGAAAGTGCATTCGACAAGATTTCTATTAAGGATGCTTCCAGAATGCTTAATTTATCTAGCGAGAAAGATATGAAAGCTTTTGCTACTAAAAAAAATTGGAATATAGCTAAGGATGGATATTTTTATTTTAACACGACACACGAAAAGAAAGCAGAAGAACCAATACCAAGTGCAGACTTAGCTACACTTGCTATAGATTATGCCAGAGAACTTGAGATGATTGTTTAATAAATTTATATATTTTTCTGTACTTTAATTAAATAAATAAAGATAGTTGATAAGAGAAGCTACTATAATACTTTTCTTATATTTAATAAAATATTATTAAATATTATTTCTAATATAATTTGATTTCATAATTATTAATTTTTTGTTTATTGTATATTAACATATTTTTATTAAATTATTTTACATATTACTATTTGAATACAAATTTATGTACTTATACATCATTTTATATTAAATTATGGATAGTCTATATAATTCGTCATAATTTTTTCTTATAATTGGTTTATTTTATAAAAAAAAAAAATGACGATCTATATCGGTATATATTTTATACAATAATCTTATATATCAATTATATTATATATATATAT